CCCCCCCCCCCACGCCTACGTGATCATATGCCGTCAAACTTTTGTTGGTTTATCTGCTTTATTTAGTGGCCACCTTCCCTACTCAACAGTGGGAAGGCAAGAGTGGGTCTGGCCTGCTAATGTGGTCTCTGATGCTCGCACACAGTGGGCACTCTAATTGATGCTTGAGCTCAGACAGGACAGTTACATCACCCTCCACGGCTCCAGAAGCTTCCGTAGCTCCCTGCCCTCTACCATCCCACGAGGCTTCTCCCGTGCTCTGACCAGGTTCTTCCCGTGACCCTGGCATGCAGCAGTTACTCACTAAACACTGGCTGACCCAGGCCCACCAGCACCCTGCACGGAATCCTCTCAGCCTGTCCTCCCCAAGGTGGGGGGGGCGGGGGGGAAGTGTCCCAACACCCCTCAGGGCACAGAACATTCCCGTGCTAATGAGCGAATCTACACTCGGCTGATTCTTCACACACAAAACCGTCTCCTTTTGGAGCCAGTGTTACAGAGGCAGGAATAAAATTCCATCAGCTAAATAAAAATGCCAAACGGCAGCCAACAGTGTAGATCCAATTTGGAGATGAGCGTCCAGAGCTGTGCGCCTGGGTTCCGGCCGACAAGGCCACCGTGTCCAGCCACTTGGCCAGCCACCCGAGGACAGGGAAGGTCCCAGGTTGCAGGCTCGCGCCCTGACCTGAGTCACCGCTGTCCTGCCAGGGGCCCCTGGCACCAGGGAGCCCACCCACCTGCCCTGGTCCTGGCTGAGGCACCAGGAGGTAAAGAGCCCACAGGGACCGCCCGGGCTCTGCCCACCCTGTGGTGAGGTCCCTCTGACAGCACGACTCCTCGGGATGAGGGGCCCGTCCTGGGTAGGGGACGGTCCCTCACCCCAAGCCAGCTCAACAGATGCCAGCCGGCCGCCCTTGGCCCTCTGAGGGCTCGCACACACGGGCGCCCTCTGAAGCTGCCCGTTTCCACTACACATCTGCCTTTTCTGCATCATCTCCCCACGGTCAGGGGCCGGGACAAAGAGCCCAGACCCTGCGGGAATCTAGAACTGCCACTTCCCAGCTGTATGACCCAGCATCAGCTCCCTGACCACCGTGCCTCAGTTTCCCCATACTTACAAGGCGATAATAGTTCCCATCTCCCGGTTGCCGTGCAGATTCAACAAGTGAACACACGGGAGGTGTTTTTCCCAACTGTGGTAAAAGGCGTAATAAAATTTAACACTTTAACCATTTTTCTGGTTTTTTTTTTTGTTTTTTTTTTTTTTTTTTTTTTTTTTTTTAGAGACAGAAGACAAACTGGGAAGGGCAGAGAGGAGTGAGAACCTCAAGCAGGCTCCATGGAGCCCGACGCAGGGCTGGACCCCAGGAACCACGAGATCACGACCCAAGCCAAAAATCAAGTCGACATTTAACCGACTGAGCGACCCAGGCGCCCCTCATCGCGACCACTTCCAAGTGCACAGCTCAGTGACATCAGGCGCACTCACACGGTCGTGCAGCCGCCCCCACCATCCATCTCCAGAACTTTCCACCTCCCCAGACTGAGACTCTGTCCCCAAGCAGCACAGACTCCCCGCCCCCTGCCCACCCCTGGCTCCCCCAGTCTGCTCGCTGGCTCTGTGGACGCGACTCTTCAGGGGACCCCCTGTGCGTGGGGTCACGCAGGACGTGTCCTTCTGGGTCTGGCTTCCATCACCGCGCAGTGTCCTCGGGGTCCATCCATGTGGTGGCAGGTGGGCACTTTCTAAGGCTGGATCACATTCGGGCATGTGGATGGACCACGGAGTGCCTACCCTTCGTGCGCGGACGGGCACCGGGGGTGTCCGGTGACTAAGGACCGTGCTGCTGTGAACGTGGGTGTGCAGATACCTCTTTGCGCCCCGACGTGCATCTCCTGCGGGTGAGAGGGAGCCCGGACACGGGAGTGTGGTGAGAGCCGGGACACACAGGCCTGCTGGACACGGGGAGGCCCGATTCCCGAGGACCCTCCAGACTGTTTGCTACACCAGCACCCACCCCACGTCCCCACCAGGGCACACGCGGTTCCCTCCTGGAACACGGCGGGCAGGCACCGGGTGTCGCCGGCCTCTTCCCCTCGGCGGCGACTGCGCAGGATTTGGGGTCAGCTTGTGCTACGGAACGTGCACGTGAACCTCAGCCCGGACCTGATGGTTCGCCCCGTGCCACGCACCTGCCGCACACCAGCTGTGCACAAGCTCTGAGGCCTCCCTGCGGACCCAGAAGGGCCATGTCCCGCTTTACAGATATGGAAACTGAGTCTGGGCCCGAGTGCAGCTTCTCTGAGGCTGCAGTGACCAGAAGGAGAGGCCAGCGGGGACCAAGTGTCCCCTGATGCTCTCGGGCCTGAGTCAGATCACAGCACCCCCGCCCCTCCCCTCAGCCCTGCAGGAACCAGGAAGGTCGGCTGCCTCTGCCCCGGGCCAGAGGGCGGGAGGAGTGACACGGCAGGAGGAAACCCCAGGACCCACGGAGTCAGCAGCTGAGGGTCCAGAGTGGTGCCGGGGGGGGGGGGGGGGCCTCTGACCCTGTGAATCCTCGGGAGGTCGGGGCGGGGGGAACAGCACCCCCGAGGCAAGAACCCAGAGCCAGGAAGGGTGGCCTCCAGACGAAGGTCGAAACGCTCAGCCCATCTCGTGGCCACCTGCCAGCTCCCTTCCCAACACCCGGCCCCCAGAACCAGCAACACATCTCCTTCTGAAACATCTACTCCTGGAACACGTACAGGCAGCCAAGGGCATGGAGGGAGGGCACAGGGGCACAGGCACCAGGCGCTCCGAGGGACCCTCGCTTGGGTCTGGGCACCAGAGCCTCAGTCAAACCAGATCTTCCAGACTTTCTGGAGACCCGAGGGTAAGGACAGCCTGGGCCCAGCCTACAGATGGGAAAACAGAGACCCTGGCACTCTGGGGAGGGGGCTGGCACCCTTGGGACCCTGGCTAAGCCCCTCCCTGCCCTCCGCTGCTGATGGGAACCCCAGAGGCCCAGGGCCTGCTGTAACCCCATTCTGGCCTCGAGGGGCTGATGGAGCCCAACTGAAAGCTGTGGGGGTGGGGGGCTTACAACGTGGTGTCCCCAGTTAGCCAGCAGGACCCCATCTCATGCCCTATCAGCTGCCGTGTGGCGAGACCCGTGGCCAGGGCGCGCAGCCAGAGGAAGGGGCCATCCCTGAGCCCAGGAGCGGGATCCCAGCTGGGACTGCTGGTTCCAGCTCCAGGTTCTCCAGCACCTGCTCAATCACGTGGATTTTCTAGGTCATTAAGCTGAGCTGTCAGGGGTGGGCAGCCTTCTGGAAAGTTCCGAGGATGGCTATGGGGCCCACGTGTCTGAGCTGGGCTCCAGGTGCCGGCTGACCACTGGCCACATCCCCAGGGCAGGTGTCCCTGGCCTCTCTCAGGCCCTTTTAGGCCAAGGGACGTTCTCATCGGGCCGTGTGGGCACACGTCCTTCTGGAGGACTCTGGCCCAGAACCGCCACCACGTGAGCCAGGCTGGGGGCACCCTTGCTGGGAGGCCATCAAAGGGATGGGACCAGTGGGACCACACTGCGCTCTCTGAACCATTCCTGCCCCGGGTAACCTCCACCCTCACCTCAGAAGCCACCCCTGCCCCAGCACACCCTCCCACCGAGTGTGGCCTGGTCCTCAGGGTCGAGCAAAAGCCCTGGGGCAGCCGACCAGTCTCTGAAAAGAACCATGACTTCTTGACAGAGTTTTAAAAACCGGACTCAGGGGGCTCTGCTGAAACAGGTCCCGCTAGGAGTCCTGGGGCTACCACGCGGGACCTGGGACCACCCCCCGCCACCGCCAGGGCACACAGAGGGTTGGAGAGAAGAGGCTTTTAGTCCTTTTGTTAAAGACAGAGCAGCACCAGAAGCCGCACGGAGGCACCAGGCACCGGCGGCCAACACGTGGTACACAAGGCTCCTCGAGGGGGCAACACGTCCAGGGGCCGCTCGGCAGGCGGGGGGCTCACTTGGCCGGCCGCGTGATGATGCGCGTGGAGAAGTCGAACAGGTCGCGGTTGACCTTCCGCAGGTTCCGCACCTCGTCCTCCAGCTCGGCCACACGGATCCGCAGCTGGTCCTGGCCGCCCAGGACGCTCTGGGGAAGGACAGGGAGCCGGGTCGCCTGCGGGTCCCGGACGGGGCGGGTGCTCGGGGTGTCCCCTGCCCGCCCCGTGGCTCTGGCCCACCTTCTCCATCGTGCCGCTCATCACCGCGTGCAGCTGCTCTGCCCGCTCCAGGTGGCTGGGCTCCGAGCCCTGCAACACAGAAGGGGCCGCGTGGCGCCCAGTGAGCAGGGGCAGCAGCCCTGCCAGGGAGGTGCCTTCCTGACACCTGCTGGCCGAGGGGACGCTGAGGTTTGCGGAAAGGACCGCCAGACGCCGGGCTGGGGCGTGCGACGTCTCTACTGAGGTCACGGGCTCCAACCCCCCGGCTGGACGGGTGCAATGTACTCCCAACGCGGCCCGGGGGCAGGGACACCCAAGGCCACGCCGTGGGCACAGCGCTGGGCCCTGACGGTCGTGCAGAGACCAAGGTCAAGGAGGCCCAGGAGACGGGCCGGCCGGTCAGCCGAGGCCTCCGGCCCCGGCACGCCGTGGGCTGGACGCCGCTACTGCTGCGGGGAGGCCGTCTGTCTCCTGCTGGACAGCGTCCGGGCACGCAGCCCTCGTTGGCACAGCCAGAGGCCAGCTGTCTGCAGGAAGGCTCCAGACACCCCGAGGGGCTTGTGCAGTTCACGGAACGGTGGGCGGAGCACGGCCGGAGCCTGCCAGGCAAGGACCTGCAGAGCAGGTGGGTGCCCCCGGGCCTGGGGCGGCAGACGGGCGATCCCTGGGGGCTCCCCTCCCCCCCCTCCCCCGCCACGGCCCCCTGTGGAGAACAGGCCGGACACACGGTACTTTCAGGCCAAGCTCTGCTCCGCAATGCGCCCTCATTCCAAACGCCCTGGGTTTCCTGAGCTCACCTGCCAAACCCCCGCCTGGGCTCAGTCGCCAGGTCAGAGATGGCCCCTCACCGGGAGCGCCGGTGCCCGAGGCAGGTCACCACCCTGAACCCGACAGAACGTGCAGAGCAGGGCAGAGGAAGGTCTTCCCAAGGGAGGGGACGCCTGTGTGGGGACGGGGACGTACCTGCTGGTGGAGGCCCAGGCGCAGCGTGAAGCCCCCTCGGTGGGGCTCATCCCCGTGCTCGGCGCCCAGCAGGTGCTTGTTGAAGTGGGGCAGGGGCAGGCCCGGCCTGAAGTCCGAGCTCAGCATGCTGAGCGGCGCCAGCATGATGGAGGCGTTGGTCACAGGGCCTGTGGCAGGGCAGGCCGCGGTCTGAAGCCGCCCCAGGCCACGCAGGCGGCTCCCACGGGCCCCCAGTCCTCACCCCCCAGCTGTCCAGGAGCGGCACCGCCCGGACCCCGGGCCTCTCCTCACAGCACAGGCCCCGGGGCGGCCAACTCGCCGGGGAAAAACCGTGGTGTGGACAAACTGGAGAAGCCGCGCGCCTTCGAGAGCCCCCGGAGGAGCTGGCTGCCCCGTGCCCCCGCACCCAGGGCGCCTCACCTTTGAGGGTCACTGTCCTGATGCACTGCTTGCTCTGGACGTCCCACAGGCGCACGGTCTCATCGTGGGAGCCGGAGAGCAGTACGCTGCCATCAGTAGACACGGACAGGCAGGTCACCTGGTTCCTGGGGACGATGAGTCCCACAGAGGGCGGCACAGGTGACCCCAAGCCGAGAGCCTGAGCACGGGGCCCCTC